AATAGAACTTTATTCCTACCTCATATCATATATAAAAATCAACTCAAAATGAATCACATAAATTTTCAATTGCGTCTTGCCCTGGCTGGGTGGCTCAGTTGGTTGGAGCATTGTCCCATACACCAAAGGGTTGCAGGTCTGATCCCCCATCAGGGCATGTGTTGGAGGTAACTAATCATTGAATCTCTCACATCCATGTTTCTCTCTTTCTCTCTCTCCTTCCCTTCTTCCCACTCTAAGAACATCAGTGGGAAAAAATATCCTCGGTGAGAATCAACAACAACAACTATATACATATATATAATTTCCATCATTAGTTACTGGTATATAGAAATATGATTGATTTTTGCATGTTTTTCTTGTATCATGTGACCTTGCTAAACTTGCTATTAGTTCTAGTAGTGTTTTTTTGTTTTTGTTTTTGTTTTTTTTTGGTAATTGTGGGATATTATACATAAAAAATCTGCATATAGGTAGTTTTAGTTCTCCCTCTCTAATTATTATGTCTCTTATTTATTCATTTACTTATTATTTTTTTTGTCTTATCTCACTGGCTATAATCTCCATCCAGATGGTGTTAAATAAAAATTGTGAGAAACGCCATCTTTGCCCTGTCTATAATTTGAGAGGCAAAGCATTCAATCCTTCAATGTTAGGTATGATGTTAGTTTTCAATTTTTCATAGATGACCTTTATGATAAATGTTGAAGAAGTTCTTTTTAATTCCTAGTCTGCTGAACATTTTTTTAAAAATCAGGAAGGGATGTTGAATTATGTCAAATGTTTTTCTGAATCTACTGAGATGATAATAGTGTTTCTTTAGTTTGTTGATGTGATGAATTATATCGATTGACTGTTAAACCAGTCTTGCACTTATGGGATAAACTTCACTTCGTGCTGATGTATTATCTTTCTATATATTGCCGGATTAGGCTTGTTAATGTAGTAAAGACTTTGGCATTTATTTATTTTTTTTTTTTATTTTTATTTTTTATCCTCACCAGAGGACATTTTTCCATTTTTTGTTCAGGTAGAGTGGGAGGGAGAGAGAGGAACAGAGAGAGAGAGAGAAACATCGATGTGAAAGGAACACATCGAGTGGCTGCCACCCGCACAACCGACCAGGGCCGGGGACAAACTGCAACCGAAGTACATGCCCTTAGCAGGAACCGAACCCGGGTCTCTCAGGACCGCAGGCCGACGCTCTAACCGCTGAGCCAAACCAGCCAGGGCAAGACTTTGGCATTTATAATTATGAAGAATAGTCTCCTATAATTATTTTTCTGTCATATTTTGATATTAGGGTAGTAATGGTCTCATACAATGAGTTAGAAAATATTTTCCCCTTTTGTATTTTCTGAAGGAGTTAGTGTAGAATTGATATTATTTCTTCATAAAGTGTTTACTAAAATTACCAATAAAGGCATCTGAACCTGGAGTTCTCTTTGTGGTGAAGTTTTTATCTAGAAATTAAAAATATTTAATACAACAGTGCTTTTCAGAACACACATTTTCTTGTGAGTTTTGGTAATTTGTACCTTACAATAAATCTGTCAATTTCCTCTAAATGGTTGATCTATTGGCATAAAATTGTTCACAATATTCTTTCATGCTTTTAATGTGTCTAGTCTATAATAATTCCCTCTCTTTTATTCTTGACATGAGAAATTTATGCATTCATTACTTTTTTCTTGATCATTATAGCCAGAGTTTAATAATTGTATTTATCATTTAAGTGAACAGAAATTAGTTTCATTCATTATTTTTTTCTTTATCTTGTTTCAGTTTTATTTTTCATTGATTTTGATTACCTTTTTTTGTCCTTCTAATAGCTTGAGGTAGTGGCTTAGATTGTTTATTTAAGACCTGTCCCTTTTTCTAATATAAACATTTTAATATAGATTTTTCTCCATGCACTTTTCTATCTGCATCCCATGCATTTTGATATTTTGTGTTTTCATTTTAATTCAGTTCAAAATAATTTCTAATATCCATTGTGATTTGCTATTTGACCCATGCGTAACTTAGATGTGTTGTTTAGTGTCCAAGCAGCTGAGGTTTTATAGGCATCTTGTCTTGTTGATTTTTAGTTTAATTTTAGTGAGGTCAGATTCCAAACCCTTTAATCTTATTATGGACTGTTTTGTGGCACAGAACGTGGTCTATACTTGTGACTATTCATTGTTCACTTGAAAGAAAAAGCTATGCAGATGTTAAATGAGATGCTCAATAAATGTCGGCTAAGTCAAAGTTTTGATAATGAGGTTAAAGGCTTACTGCCTCTTCTGTGGCGTACTTCTCTCGGACATTCCGATTGCTGGGTCGGAATCTGCAGCTGTTACTGTGGATTTGTCCTTTTCTTCTTTCATTGTATCCATGTTGCCTCATGTATCTAAAAGCCTGTTTTTAGATAAAATATTTTTTATAAGTTCATTTTATTTCCAATCTTGACTTGTCAGCATCTGTCTATGTTTTATTTTGTTTTACCGATTGCTTTAAGAGTGTACATATTGTGGTGAAGGGATGAAAAAGTACAGCTTGGTTGCTACAAAGTAGACATGGGAATGTAAAGTACAGCATAAAAATATAATCAATAACATTTTAATAACTATGTATGGTGCCACGTGGGTACTTGAAATATCAGGGGAACACTTTATAAATTATATGACTGTCTAACCACTCCACTATGTACCTGAAACTAATACAAAATAATATTGAATGTAAACTGTAATTTAAAAAATGTAAAAAATTTAAAAACAGTGTGATTATTGGTTATAGGCTGCCTTTAAGTTAAATCACTTTACATGTTATGTAAGAACTCTTGGCCTTATGCTGTGGTTGTCATACATTTTACTTTATGTGTGATATCAACCAGAAGTAATTTGTAATGATTTGTTTTTTTTTCTTTTTTATTAATTAATTTTTGTTACAGATGTTTCTCCTTTCCCCCCCACTGATTCCCCTCTTCCCCTCCCTCCCTGCCCTGTCCCCAGTTTGTTGTCCATGTCCACTGTTCATGCATACATGCATATAAATTCTGTGGTTTATCTCTCCCCCACCATCCCCTCTTCTGGGGATTGTCAGTCTGTACCCCACTTCCACGTCTCTGGGACTACCCCATTCCTCAGACTGTTATGTTCATTATATTCCATTCCACAAATAAGTGAGATCATATGATACTTGTCTTTCTCTGTTTGGCTTGTTTCACTTAGGATGATACTTTCCAGGTCCCTACATGTAGTCTCAAAGGATAAGAGATCTTCCTTTCTTACAGCTGCGTAGTACTCCATTGTGTATATGTACCACTTTTTATCCATTCGTCTACTGATGGACACTTGGGCTGTTTCCAGATCTTAGCTATTGTAAATAGTGCTGCTACAAACATGGGGGTACATATATTCTTTCTGACTGGTGTTTCAGGCTTCTTAGGCTATATTCCTAGAAGTGGGATCACTGGGTCAAATGGAAGTTCAATTTTTAATTTTTTGAGGTAACACCATATTGTTTTCCATAGTGACTGCACCAGTCTGCATTCCCACCAGCAGTGTACTAGAGTCCCCTTTTCTCCACACCTTCACTTTGTTGTTTGATGATTTGTTGATGGCGGCCATTCTGAAAGGTGTGAGGTGATACCTCATTGTTGTTTTAATTTGCATCTCTCTCATGATTAGTGATGATGAGCATTTCTTTGTATGTCTCTTAGCCATTTGTATGTCCTGTTTGGAGAGGTGTCTATTTAGTTCCTCTGCCCATTTTTTAATTGGGTTCTTTGTCTTCCTTTTGTGGAGTTGTATGAGCACTCTCTATATATTGGAAATTAACCCCTTATCTGATATATCATTGGCAATTATGCTCTCCCATACAGTGGGTAGCCTTTCCGTTTTGATGATTGTATCTTTTGCTGTGCAGAAGCTTTTGAGTTTGATGTAGTCCCATGTGTTCATTTTCTCCTTTGTTTCTATTGCCTTAGGTGATGTATCAGTGAAAATTCTGCTGTGTATGATGTCTGAAATTTTGTTGCCTACAGTTTCTTCTAGGATTTTTATGGATTCATGAGTCACATTTAAGTATTTTATCCATTTTGAGTTTATTCTTGTGTAGGGTGTAAGTTGATGGTCTAGTTTCATTTTTCTGCTGTAATGATTTGTCTTAAATAGTCAATTATATTTTATTTTATTCTCACCCCAGGAGATTCTTGCATTTTTATCTTCAGATAGAGGGGGAGGGAGACAGGGAGGAAGAGAGAGAGAGAAACATTGATGTAAGAGAGAGACATCGAGTGGTTGCCACCCACGTGACCCCAACTGGGGCTAGGGACAAACTGTAACTGAGGTACATGCCCTTAGTGGGAACCAAACCCGGGACTCTATGGTTTGTGGGCCGACACTCTAACTGCTGAGGCAAATTGGCCAGGGTGTCAATTATCTTTTAAAGTGACTTAAAAATAATTTTTAAAAATACAAAATAATTAAAAAGTATTTCATATTTATTTTTATATTTACTATTTCTGGGATTCTTTATTTCTTTGTGTAGCTCTAGATTCTTATATATGAGGGCTTTGTTTAATATTTCTTTTTGAAAAATATGTTTTTATTGATATGAGACAGAGAGGAAGGTGGGGAGAGACACATCAATGGGCTGCCTCCTGCCTGCCTCCTACTGGGGATTGAGTCCACAACCCAGGCATGTGCCCTGACCAGGAATGAAACCAGTGACCTTTTGGTGCATGGAATGATGCTCAACAAATTGAGCCACACTGGCCAGGGCTGTTTAATATTTTTTATAATAATCATAAGTTGGTGATGAATTTTTAATGCTGTTGTATGCCTGTAAAATAATTTATTTTACTTTTACTTTTGAGAGAAATTTTACTAGGGATAGTGACTTTACTAGGGATAGTGACATATTCTTTCAGTTTGTTGAAGATACTGTTCCACTGTTTTATAGATTGCATTTTTCTGTTGAGAAGTCTGCTGTAACTCATTATCTTTTTTCTTCTAACCAATATGGAATGATTCCTGAATTTGTGTGTCCTCCTTGGGCAGTGACCATGTTAATATTCTCTGTATTGTTCCAATTTTTGTTCATGTGCTGCAAAAACGAGCACTGTAACTCTTGTCTTTGGAACTATGTACATAATGGCTTAAGGTTTTCTCTTTTTCATTGGTTTAAGCATGTTGATATTACACACTTTGGTATAGTCTTTATATTTTGTTGTTCATTAAGCTTCCTGATATATTGATCATTAAATTTTTTAAAATGGTGATTATTTTTCCATATATTCTTCTGCTCTTCCCCCTCCCGTTTTTTTGTTTTTTGTTTTTTGTTTTTGCGAGTCAAAAATGTTAGATTGTTTGCTATTTTTCACAGATCACTGATCTCTGTTTTTTTTCCTTTTTGTGCTAATTTGAGATATTTTTCACTGTTATATCTTCAAGTTCACTAGTTTTTTCTTCTGCAAAAAAATTTCCTGCTAATTCTATTCATTTGCTGTTAATCCCAGTCACTTTTCTTTTTATTTCACACACTATAATTTTCACCTATAGAAGTTTCATTTGAGTTTTTTTATATCTTGTATTTCTCTCTCTCTCTCTCTCTCTCTCTCTCTCTCTCTCTTTTTTTTTTTAAAGCAAATGTCCTCCAGGGAAAAACTTTTAAAGGTAAAATTCTGAAGTTGCTCTGAGTAAAATTCTACTGACATTTGACTATCAGAACTTAGTCAAACAGCAACATCTAGTTATAAGGAGGGCTGAGCAATGAAGTCCAGCTGAGTGGCCATGTGCCCAGGTAAAATTGTATTACTATCTTAATCCTGGTCTTTTCAATTATGTGCATTAGTTTGGGTTTGGGGTTCCATTCCTTGTAAATTGTGAGTCCTGGATAATAGAGTTGATTACTAGACAGAGGGATACATATATTAAAAAACAAGGAGATGTTTAATATTTTACTTAACCTCTTTGAAATCTAGTTTTCCTTTTTGTAAAAGTAGAATATATGGTTACTCATCTCTCCAGTTTGTTCTTAGTTTTAATGAATGAGAAAGCACTTTGTAAATGGTCTTGTACTAGACAGTGAAAAATTATATTCATCAGTTTTTCCTAACCCCTAAATTTAGTCCCTCACACCACCTATTATATACTCTTAAAACATCTGGTATTTGTTCCCGTAGTTTATCTCAACTGTAATAAATATTCATTTACATAGTTATTTATTTCCAGATTGTATTCCCCAACAGAGTGAAAGATGCACAGGATTCTCAGAGACTTGCTATTTTTCTTTCTTACAGATTTATCCCCAGCCCAATGAACAGTGACTGTTATTTATTGAGCTTCCAATGAGTATATAAGCGAATAAATGACAACTATAACATTTATAAGATATAACATTGTCTGTGGAGAACTCAAGGCTCCTCTATAGCCCCTGCACCTCACCCAAAGAAAGCCCAGAAGAAAATGTACAGATATTTACTGGGTTGGGATGCTTGGAAGCCTGTGGGAGGGGGGCACATCATAGCTTTTCAGGACAGTGGATTAGAATTTAAAGCAATTGCATACATATGTCATACTTTCTGGGTATATGACCTCTCTTTGATTTTCCCTTAGAGTATTTATTTCCTGTGGAACTGGTGTACTAAGATGGGCCTAGAACTATCTCATCCTTGAAAGATGTGGCCATCCTGGCAAAGACTCTTGGGCTACAGGACTTGGGAAGACAATTTATTTCCCCTTAGGTCCATATCTGAGTGGTAAGACTATGAGGACCCACAGTCAACATTAGGGTCCTATATGGGATATGAAATGATTTTAGGAACATGTCCTCTTCCTGAATTATCTGTTTCTTCCTCTCTATCTCACATTTCCTATTTACAAAACTATATGTACCCCAGTCTCCCTCCAGTTACTGCTCTATTTACTTGCTATTTTTTTTACAACAAGCTTTTTAAAAAAATTATTTTAAAATTACAGTTGACATAAACAATATTATATTAGTTTCAGGTGTGCAACATACCTTACAATGTTATCCTTATAAGTCTTGTACCCATCTGACATCATACATAGTTATTACAATATTATTGACTATATTCCTTATGCTGTACTTTATAGCCCATGACTATGTTTATAACTGGCAATTTATACATCTTAATCCCTTTCACTTTTACCCGCCCCCCCCCCCCCACCTCCTCCAATCTGGTGACCGTCATTTTGTTCTCTTACAGAAAACTTCTTGATTCTGATCAGGCCTTCATATTCTTATTTTTCCTTCTAACATTCTTTACCCACCATCAACTGCAATGGCTCTTGTCAAGGTCATTAATAAAATTCAATGGTTACTTCTTGTACTTTCCAACTTGTTCTTTAAGCAATATTCAACACATTTGATGCGCTCTTCTCCTTGAATCACTTTCTTTTGCTGCCTTCCATGATGCCACATTTTCCTTTATTGGTTCACCATTCTCTAGCTTGCCTTTAAATGTGGGCACATTCCAGAGCTATATCTTTTCATTTCTCTATTCATATGCTCTTTCTAGGTGACCTACACAGCTCCACAGATTTAAATTTTACCTGTGCACTGATGACTTAAATTTTTTTATTGCAGTCTTGTTCTTTCCCTGGAATCGTAGACTCCTATATCCATCTGCCGACACATCCAAACGGATGTCTAATACCATTTCAAAGTAAAGTGGTTCAAATATAACTCCTGTTTTGGCCCTCCGTCTGCCTTCTTCTTCCCCATCTCAGAAAATGGCAGTGTATCTGCCAGTTGTTCATGTCCCAAATCTAGGTGTTATTTTTAACTAATTTTTTCTTACCCCCAAATCTAACTAATAAGTAAGTTCTGCAAACTCTGTCATCTATTCCTCTCCATCTCCAGTAGTTCTTATAGGTCAAGCCTCTTTCGTTTCTTGCCTGGATGTTGCACTAGTCTCATAACTGATCTTGTTGGTAGCCAGAATTCAATATTTGAAGCAAATATTTCATCATGTCCATCTTCTTTAAATTTTTTCTACATCTTCCCATGAGCATTACATTTGACATTTTATCCTGGTTTTCAGAAGTTCATGTAATTTGATCCTTCTTACCTTCTGAGTGCACCTCATACCACTCTCCTCTCCCCTTTTCCTCTGTGTTATCACCACCCTGGTTTGACTTCTATTCCTTTGACTTGCCAACCTGGTCCTCCCTTTGGGGCATTTGCACTATCTGTTCCCTCTGCCTGGAACAATTTCTCCCCAATCTTATCATGACCGGCTCCATCTTACCTTAGTCTTAATGTCAACAACCTAGAGAGATCCATCAAATACAAATTAGCCATCTGGTTTCTATCCTATCACTCAATTTTACCTCTCTGCACAGCATTTTTTTTTTGCTCTCTGATATTGATATTGCCATTTTTTTTTTTTTGGTCTTCCTTCTTCCCATTAGATTATAAATTTGAGAGTAGGGACATTATCTCTCTTGTTCACTGCTGTAACTTTAGTACTTATTACCACTCGTGACACAATAAATGCCTGCTGAGTGTATTGATGAAATTGGACCACTCATTTGTTTTAGAATAGTCTTCCCATATCTATGCAAAGAGCTTCTTATAGCAACCGTTGGTCTAGCTGAACTCATCAGATAAAAATGAGGTCCAGAGCCTTTAATAAAGACCACAATTTTGGTGATTTCTGACCTTTTTTTTTTGGCCTCCTGCACCAACCTACACTGGCACTAGGTGTCTAGTGAAAGATTTGAGGCCTCATATCAATGGATATCTGGCAGGGTCAGCAAGGTTTAGAGACCTTGGTTCCCAGTCCTCCCACCCCAGTCCCTGACTACCTCCTTGGCCGTGCTCACCTGTTAGAATGAACTACATTAATAGCATTGGAAATGCAGTGGGGCATCAGAAAAGGGACCTATTAGCCTAGCTTGCGATTTTCACGGACTGCAGCTGGGCCACGGGAAGATGAGGGTTAGGACAGGAGGGAAGAGTGCTGACACAGGTGTGGTGATGGGAAAAGTAGAGCGTTCTGAGGGAGAGCAACAAGACTTCTGAAATACCCGACAACACTGAATGCAATGTCACAACTTTTGGGTGTGGGATTTGGGAATGTGGGATATAATCGAGCCAGGCACAATACTTGACTTCTTTTAACAGCCTCTAAAAATCTAAAACAACTTATTATCACTCTTATTAGTTATGTGAGATGTCATAGAACTTGACAGACTCATTTCATTAGCCTTGTAAGAAGAAGAGATGCCAGGTGTGCGTGCACAGAGAAAGGGCCGTGCGAGGACTCAGCAAGACGATGGCCATCAGCTAGCCAAGGAGAGAGGCCGCGGGAGAAACCTAACCTGCTGGCGCCTTGATCTTGGAGTTCTAGCCTCCAGAACTGTGAGAAAATAAATGTCTGCTGTTTAAGGCACCCGGTCATAGTATTTTATTCTGGCAGCCTGAGCAGACCCAGATGCAGTTTTGGTACATCTCAGGTAACGGTGACAGCTCTTTATCACTTATTCAAGAGTGGCTCTAGTGTCCTCAACTGCTTCTCATTAGAGCAGCAATGACTCGGACAGACATAATGGCACTGTGAAGCATGGAAGGTACTGGCCACAGCAGTGGGACTATTAGCTTATTTGTTATATAAATATTCTTTTCATAATAACACAATTAAAGACAATGCTTTGGCAGCTATTGACGCAGATGAACTTACAAGACAACTTAACTCACTCTCTCATAGCGTTTGCTACTAGTTCGTTGGCTTTGTGTATTAAATGCTGATTTAACAGTGGTCTGGTTAGATTTCATCATGTTGGATTTGCCCCATTTTTCAAGGCATCCAAATACACTCACTGTCTGCCCAACTGCCTATTACCAGAAAATCAATGACCTGCTTCAGACAGTTCATAAAGATGTTGAGTGGGAAAGGGTCCTGAACCCGTTATCATGAATAATGATTGTAACAACTTATATCTATGTAGGACTTCATAGCTTATAGAGCTTCCTACCAGTTTGGGGATCCTGGCAAAATAGGAAATTAGTTTCATTTTTCATGACCTGTTCTTTATCGGTTGCTCAGTATGCTGAAAGAAACTGGAAATCAGGAGTGTTAATCTTAGCTTTGAA